ATGGATGGATGGATGGATGGATGGATGGATGGATGGATGGATGGATGGATGGATGGATGGATGGATGGATGGATGGATGGATGGAATTTTTATTGGTGGACCCTTCTTATCATAGATAAACCCAAAGAGCTCACCTGTTTTTGAGTCACTGGCTCTGGGGTCGTCTTCTTGCTCCCCTGTTTGTTTCTCTTCTATACCAACAACTGCTTCATCTGGCGACACCTTGTATTCAGCAATGGTCAGCTGTCTCTTCTTTAGCACTGTAACTTTCTGCTTCTCTGGATTTTCCTCACTCAAGATCTCCCACTGACACTCAACGCTGACCCTCTCGACGGATTCTGGCTCTGGTGTTGTTACTACAGCATCGGTTTGTGTTCCCTGCTCTGTCTGATCTGTGCCCAAGTCTTGGCCAACAGAAACGTGTTTTACCTCAGGCTGGCACATAGTGGCAGTATGCTTTAACACAGAAGGGGAAGTTTCTACCTGGGCATTTCTCATGTCTGGTTTTGCTAGCACTCCCTTCTCAGCTGTGACTTTAGAGGTTCTTTCATCAATCTGCGTTCTGAGATGATCAATGTCTTTGTCCGCTACAGTAAGGCGATTCTCTAAAGCTACTATAGACTCCTGCTGGAACTTAATGGTGTCCTGTAAGGTGTCTATCTCCCTCTGTGTCTCTGTAGTCAGCCCAAGCAACGACTCCATGACCCAAACTTCAGCCTCCTTGGTCATTGCTCCGACCTGTGTTGCCTGCTCATGAACCACAGTAGCGTCTGTTTCTGTTCTTTTATCACATACGTTCACCTCTGTGCACACAGACGCATCTCTTACACCTTCCCTGTAATAGAAAACTACAGAGGTTATTGGCACATTATCCCCAACAGCAACAGATTTCTTATCTTTTTCTGCAGAATGTGGTAAAACTTTAGTCAATGGTGGGGGAGACTTGAGCTCTTTTCCTTCAAATTTCTCAGTCAGTCTTTTTAATTCGCCTGATTTTACTAGACCTTTATGTCCAGTAGTGGTTGGTGAAGTCACTCGGCTGTGGTCAGACTTAGGGGTCTCGGTGGTTTGTGTAGAAGACTCTTTAGACTGTTGCCTCTGCTGGGAAAGCTCCAAGGCTACTTTCTTCTCCTCTAAGGCTAACAAAAGCATGTCTTTTTCTGCACGAAGCTTGGCCAGCTCTTTCTCAAGAGCAGGAACACCCTTCACCCTTTCCTCCATCTCTTTCAGCTGCTTCAAGGCAGTGGCCATCTGCTCTCTAACTGTCTGCAGCTGGCTGGGAGGGATTGGGGTCACTGTGGTGCCAGCAGCTGGAGTGCTGCGCCCAGAGGTCTGAGGACTGGGTTTAATCCAGCTGCTCTGCAGAGGCTGAATAGATAGGGAGGATGTGAGCTGTTTGGGAGGATCTGCGAGCTGGAGGCGTCCACCATTCTGGTGTTGGTGGGTTTGCTCCTGCTGAAGCCGTAGACTGGTTTCCAGTAGAGTCCGCTCAACTCTTGGGTTTCGCTGCGGTGGAGGGGGTGGCACTTTGGCCCCAGCAGAAAGGGGAGGCACAATGAGAGGATTCACGGGGGAAATGGAGAACACCTCGCAGGGTGCTGAGCCGAGGCGGTTACGCGGCGGCGGGGGAGGGGGTACTCTGCCATCTTCACTGACTGGCGAGGCGAGAGATTCTGTGGATGTCCAGCCACTGGTGCGTCCCCCAGCACTTGAACTCCTCTGGGAAAGCTTGAGCCCCCGTCCAGGACGCCGGGAGCTGAGGGGAGCCCGGCGGAGATTGTGGCCACTTTCTATTTCTTCAACATATTTAAGGAAGTCCAGGTCAAGCTGGAATCCATAGGGAGTCTGGACGGAGTAAGAGCCCGACTGGTCAGCCTCTTCCTTACTTGAATAGATGAATGCAGAGCCTAAATCTGAAAAGAAAGGGACATTCACAGGACACCTTCTTATCACTATTCATTATTTAACAAAATTGGTTTGACTAATGTGCAATGTTTTATTTATTTACCACTGATTCAGTGAAACTGTCATATTATATTAAGCTTGAATTGAGGTCATACTTGACCAAGTCAGAACACTCAGTGCTCTTGCTAATTGAATTAGCTTTTAATCAATCAATTTTAAATGAATTATTATCAAGCTTGAAATTTTAAACCAGCAACATTGTGGTGCTAAATAGTAATCAGTACCGGCAGATTTAATTTTAACCAATGATCTATAAAAGGTTTTTTATCTTTACCACAGTGGTGCAACTACAAAGAAAAATTAAATAATGTAAAGACAGATTGACTGAGGTGTTAACGTGTTACAGCTACACTTTTGAAGCTCTGAATGCATCGGAAAGGCTGCGAACATCCTGGTATCAGCTGTTTTCCCACATTTCCCACATCCCTCATCAAAGCAAGCTCAAGTCTCATGAATGTTGGAAACAAAGTAAAAAAGTTTTATAAAGGTAGATTTATAGTGTGATTTTATTTTGATTCCTTACTAGCTTCCTGGTAACATATTTATAGTGTTTTTTTATTTGAGTTGGAAAGAATAACATGTAAAAGAATTAAATGCTCAAGTTAGAAAGATTAATCAAAATACTTTTTATTTTATAATCAGTTAGCAGCTCTTGAGAGCATTAGAAATAACTGAAAATAACAGCTATATCGTTCTGTTAAAAGCAATCAACTGCTGGGGAAAAGACAATTTTAAGTAATTTTGCAATGATTAGGAAAAGCAAGGGAAATGCTTAGAGAAGATAAACTGGTCTGAAGAGGTCAAGACGTAACTTTTTTAACAGTTCTGGACATCACTACGAAAACAACTTGCTGTATCTGAAGATTTTAAATGGGATCATAGTGTGGGCTCGTTTACTGTAAAGCTTGTTAGGGCTGGTATAAGTATTTTAAATGAAGTAATGGTGGCTGGAGAGATGTTCCAGGACTTTCCTGATGGGAGTTACAAAATTAATAAGCTCTAAAATGTTCAAAATCCCTTGACTGGTATCCAGCTAAAAATATAGGAAAAATAGGGAGTTCAGTGAGAATAGAAAGGACTCCCAGAGCCTTTATGATTCAAAACAATTGGTTTGGAAGAACAAGTAACACTAACTAAGCAATGTCTCTGAGATGTTTTTTTCAAAACATTAAGTTTTCATGACCAAAAGTTTTTTTTTTATATATAAAAAAAAACAACTGTAAATATGTTTGTTTTTACATGTGTCATTTAAGCTATTTACTCAAGACTTCATGTCACCAATTTGATTAATTACTTTGAATATGTGGATTAATATGGTTTCTATTTCATCCAAATGAAACCATTAGAGATATTATGAATCAGAAAATGTTTTATACCGGTATTTATTTTAGCAAGAAAATGTTAAAAGCAGAACTGTTCTTACCAGGCACTTTTGGATTAACCTGCACTGATTGGGTCATTTTTCAAGACTGAACCCCTTCAGTGCCAAAACTCTCCAATCAATGGACCAGGCTGAAGAAAGACAAGAGAGATTAATTATTTCTACAATAATGCACCTATGTTGGTTAAAACATCAGTTGTAAAAGAAATGATTATTGACAGGTATTATAATCTAAAATCCTAGTGCAGATATTTTCCTCACTTTAGAGGTTTTAATTATTTGATTTGTAAGAAATAAACAACAGATCAAGTATTTACAAATAGCATTAAACCTCTTATTTCTAAAGACACACCTAAGATAAATACTACTGCGTCATTTTTCTTTTCATATTTTAATAATAACAACATATTATTTCTGATCTAAGTAGAATAAGCTGAAAACAAACCGTCCGCTTCTTCCACTCCCTTAAAAGCCTAGGTTATTAAATGTATTAATGCACTTTTATTCTGCAGGACAAGTCAGCACATAAACAGTTTCTAGCAAGTAATGACACATCCTTGCTACCACTATGCTGACCAGAAGAAAAGGTGACTTATAAGTAACAGATCAAACAGAGCATTGATGGGATGTTTACCTCCTTTTGCTACTTAATGAGAGATTGAAGAAGCTGGAGCTCAGGGAGGTTTCCTCCTTCCTGATTCACTCAGCCCTGCGAAACAAAGACAGAACTGTTCAAACGCTGCTATCAAAAAATACAAGGAAGAAAGACCTTTGGAGATATTTCCACTCCGAAAAATGGCAGATCAGAACACGAGATTAAATATATAATCATCGGAACAGTTACAAAACAAGTTCTAAAAAAAACTAATGTAAAAAAAAAATGCTTGGAAGGTTTCCTATTTTGTTTTTTTTAAGCTTTTGTATATATAAACCAAGACTCCAATGAATGTCTCAACACAGCAATGCCTTGTAGGAAACAGGAGCTAAACCTCAGATACAGGCAGTCAGTTATTTAGTTTCAAACAAACACACACGTGTTTCCCTGCAGCACATTCCTAACACATGCTGTTGAAACACGCCAGTCGGCCTTGTAGTTCACTAACCACTGATAACCTGTAAACACATCTATCATTTGTTAGCTCAGACACACTTCTTGCTGTCAAAGAAAATCCCACTATCACTCACTCAGACAGGAAACCTTTTACCTGAATCCTCAGTATGAGTGCCTGGGGAACTGTTGTGTACTTAGGTAATACAATGTTTTCAGACAAGTAAAAGGTTATATATGTATATATATAAATCTGTGCTGTGTTTTAAATGACTTTAAGCTTCCATTAAAGGTCCAAGTTCAGTAAACTTAATTCCATGGAAACTGGATCAGTCGAGTGGGTTTCTGTTCACTTTTGGTGGAGAATTTTTATAACAGATTTCCAGATCTCTAGAGTTCTGAGTCACTTTTAGTTTCCTTTATATTATGAACAAAACAATAAACCTATGTAATGGCAGTAATTTCTAAAGAGGTCAGGCTTTAAATATGGAATCGAAAACCCAAGAATTAAAGGGATGAATGTAAATGGTGCACGAAAAAAAGACATCAAAGAGAAATCAAGGAACCCTGCTCCACGTTATCTCACCAGCAACCAAAGATGCCTGTTCAGCAATAGGTTTATTTCCTTCAGATTGGTCATGTACTTCTTCTAGAATCCTACTTTCCTCCAACCTGTCCACCATTTTTGCCCAGAGCAATGTAATCTCAGAAAATGAAAATACTTATTTTCTTTTTCATTAATGTCCAGACCTAAATCAAATCATTTTTCATTCTTTTCCAGACTGCATCAGAAGCCAAAATTAGATAAAAATTACAACTTAGATCATAAAAAAGTTGATTTAATGTTCAGTCTGAAACAGCAGGTCAGGATACATATAGATATGATGTTGAAGTGGTTTACAGTTTACCGCATTTAGATTAATGTACTTGAAAAAATTGAAAATCCATCTCAATTAAGATTTTTATAAGTTTAGTTCTCTATAAATCTAAATGAAGTCACGGTAACAAAAGTTAAGCAAGCCCACACAGTTTCTAGCAGCTGTTTGATGCTTAATTGTTACATGAGTAAATGCTGCTTTTTGTATGACTAATTTGTTTCATAACTTTAAATGGTGATAGAAGTTTCTTAAAAGGGATTTAGTTTTAAAGCAGATTTACTTTGAATATTCAAACTTAAAACCCTTTCTTTGGTCAAACATAGAAAAGCAGTATCATCCTGTGGGGATGTTTTCCACAAACAGAGATGAAAAGATTGATAAGGTGGAATCAAAATAAAGGTTTTTTTTTTTTTTTTTGTAAAGCCAGACAACAACAAGAAGTCTGAAAAGTTATGTGTACAGAACAAAATACACACAGATGTGTGCCCAAAGCAGATGTTGGGTGTAGAGATTCTTCAATGTGAGGAGGATTATAAAAGCTTTTGTAGCAAAATTAGATTTTTTGGTTTTACGCACAACACTTAGATCTTCCTCCGCTCTCCAAGTCCTTCATCATTTCTCCACCTTTTCTTTTTCCCACATCAGCAACCTTTAATCTGATTTTATTTCCCTCTCTTTGTCTCAGCCCTATTCCTCTCACATGACTCCCTTTACTTCTCACCCAGAACTTCCCTCAAAACACCCCCTCTCTCTCTCAAACACACACACATCTGTCTCAGCTCTCGAGTGTTGTTGTTTTTCTCTCTGATTTGATGACACCAAATTACAGACTGCATGAAGGAGCAGCATTCCTTTAGTTTACACCCCCTCCGGTCCTGACCAGCTGAGTGCCACGCTGTCGAGTCGCTCACACCAAGAGAAGTGCCAACATATGAGCGGTTCACATAATGACACTCAGACAAACCAGAAACAATCACAGAAAGGGTCATAAACAGCCTGACTACCAATATATACCTCTGAAATTAAAAGTCACTGAACAGATGTTGGCAAAAGGCAAAGCTCTTCTGTAACCCACATTTCACCCATTTTGGCTTTGAGGAATTGGTCTCAATACAAGGCACTGAGATATATAGTTCGCCAAACTATACAACTTAGTTGGTTTTGCACATTTCAACCAAACAATTATACTCTGCATATTTACATTTACAGCTTTGGTAAAGGTCCTGAATATAGTCCTGTGTTAGCAGATTAAAAACATAATGCGGGTGCAGAACTGCCTCTAATTAACTTACAGGAAACAATTAACCTTTAAAATTTTGGTTGGACTCTTTAAAATATGCAGATTTTGCTCTAAATCAAAAGGTAAAGGTATCCCAAAGAATTTTGTTAACTTTTAGGACACAGTCATTCGGCTCAGAATACAGGATAATTGGAGTTGTTTTTTTTCTAAAATCAAGGAGATCAATGAATTGAAGAATGGAATGTTGAAATACATGTGAGACAGACAAAACTTTTGTCAAGATGGGTTTGCCTTGTGATATTAAGGTTATTAAGGAGATATAGGCTTACTGTTCATGCCAGTGAGACAAAACTCAACTATGTTGGCTGACTTGTGACAAACGGCGGTTGAAAAAGTTCTCACCATCCTACAGTAGTGTGTCTCCATGCTGGTGATCAGCAACAGGAGTTTCTTTAAATCAGTAAAGTTTAACACAAACTGTACGCAGTTCATAAATCTTGATGATCAGAGTGTCTTAAACAATGAAACGCGGAGCATCTTAAAATTTGTTTTGGTTTTGACAATACAAATGCCACAAGCAGAAATGGAAAAACATCAGTTAGGTAACTAGTAACACCACATACTGGAACTCCAACGCATCTGTTTAAAGGTAAAGGGATTCATCAACAGCTGCTGATTTGTTTCTTAAGAGGATGTTCCTGTTTTAATAGGGAATTTTACTCTGCTCCATCTGTTAGTCTAATCCTGTAGGGAAAATATAAGGGCTTTTGCTGAGCCATCTGGTGCAGGACTCATTTTTATGCGATAGAAAAAAGTTTCAAACCAATAGTTTAAGATTTAATTTGGCAAAAATCAGGTGTTCATTTTTATGCTCCAATTTGCAAAGTAATTAAGCTGCCTAAAACATGTACACATCAGTATTTTTTCCAAACACAGACACGCTCATGGAAATATTATTTTACAGCTTACATTTTAAAGTCATATGGCCGTATTGGTAAAAAGAATTTAGACAGGATTTCAGGTCAAAACAGTGAAAACTTTAGAACAGAACCTAGAATATATATCATGACTGGACCAGTACAGAAGGCTTTTAGTTGATGCCTAAATGGTTCATAAGAGGGTGTGCATTCAAGAGCATTACAACCAGCACACCATTATGAAAAACAATGCTGGTTCTAAATTCAAGGTTCTGTGAAACTGGCTACGGCAAGAGTGTATGTTTGACTTGTAATGGCCAACCCAAGTGGAGGCTGCCTTTTGCAGCTGTATTCCAGAAACATTTTGTGAATATGCCATGAAGACTCAAACATTTCACTGATCTATTTGCTTTATTACAAAAATCCAACCTGAACATTTCATGGCTGATCCTGACATTCAAAATAAACAAGTAAAAAATAAAAATGTATTAATTAAAAAACTGTTATTTTAGTTTCATGGCACCTTAAACTAAAGTGAAAAACGATGACATGGCCAGTAACTATCCCTCTATAAACATTTCATTTAAATGGTTGTTAAATATATTGTGCCTTTGCTCATGGCATGCATCTCTAGATCTAAGCACAAGGGGTTGAGTTTCAGCCATTAAAATGTGCATTATAACTTGGAGACGTCATTTGGATTTCTTTATTTATTGGTATGCAACAAATTGGTGCAAAATACAAAACACTAACTTTTGGCAAAAAAATAAAATAAAATAAAATACTGAATTGGATTAAATAATATATTTTATTATTATTATTTTAGATTTTGGAAGGCTAGAAAGTATTTAGTCTAAATTGGCTTTAATTTGTATTCAAGCAGGTGTGAATCATCCCACTAACCATAAATGAAGTTTTGGTTTTCTTTCCATTTTTAAGGTTATGTGCATTTCCCTTGTTCATGGTAGATTTGCCTTTAAATTTTACATTTTGGCTCACAAATCTTTTTTGGTACGGCAATAAGAACTTGATGTGGCCTTTTGTCTTTCAGCCACTTTTTAACCAGTTTGGTGATATGCTTTGACTCATTGTGTATTTGAAAGAGCCGCTTTTCTGTAGTGTTTAAGTCACAGTCAGATAAAATGTTATACTGCACTGAAATTTTAGATTAGTATTTGTTTTTTCATGATACCACTTCTTTTGTAAAGTACACCGGTTCCTCCTGTTGGATGGCAAAATTATCTTTTTTTTTTTCTTGTATTTCTGAAAGTAAAAAAATTAATAAACAATGTCAGTTAAACTGACATTAACGTCAGTGTAGTTCTGTTTCTCTGACTGTGACTGGCGGGATGTGTTCTCTCCATCGTCTGACATGGGAGCTGGCTCGGCGCTCATCTGCCTGGCTGTGTTTCCTGGACGGTTGCCTTTTGTATATCCGCTTCTGTCTGCTTGAATCCCAGTCAGCCTTGGCAGATGGCCGCTCACACTGAGCCTGGTTCTAGTGGAGGTTTCTTCCTGTTAAAAGGAAGTTTTTCCTCTCCCTTGTCGCTAAAAGCAGGCCTGGTGTAAGGGATTGCTTTCTAGTCAATGAGTCAATGCAATCAACTGGTTTTCCTTAGATACAAA